GAGAGAGAGAGAGAGAGAGAGAGAGAGAGAGAGAGAGAGAGAGAGAGAGAGCGGGAAAACTTACGCGAGGTATAGAGGGTCGGGCTGCCGGTGTACGGATTGGCGACGGAGTAACTTCCGTTGGTACTGTGACTGTGGGGCGTGCTGGCCGAACTACCGCAGTAACCACCGCCGGTTACGACGCCACGTGGACTCGCGCTACTGCTTTGTCTGTAGGCATCAGCGTTACCGCCGACGCCGGTTCCGACGCTTCCGCCGCTGCCGCCGCCACCACCGCCCCCGCCGCCTCCTCCCCCGCCGGCGCCGGCTCCTGTCGTCACGGAACTACCGTCTAGAAATAGAAACCTGCCCGTCAGACGAACTCGTCAGTATCTTTTGATCGTTCCGGTCATGATCGGCTGCCTAATGAACTTAACTCGGGGGGTGATTTAACCGCCGGGGCGGAGAGGTCGATCGCCCTTCCTCCGCACACCGGGAGAAAATCGGGAGAGAAATGCGCTCTTTGAAATCAAACCAACCCGTTTTTTAAAAAAGAATATCGCGCGTTGTATTCATTGTCGCATTGATTTTGCATCGATTGCACGAAACCTTAACCGATGATCGAGCCACCAAGGATAGGTAAATGAGTGCGATTGAAGAAACGTGTAGGGGTGAGTTCCGCCGAAATCGTACTATTTAAGGTGTTTTTAAGACATTTATATCACACAGATAGCAATTTGTCCGAGTTTCGGTTATGCGCTTCGTTGCCCATTTATTTTATATATTTACCACCGAATCGCGCTTATATCGAATAATTAGAGAGAAACGATGAGAGGAGTGCGATTTAGATGACCGATACGTACCAGGCAACTCTTTCCTATATTTCACCTCGGTACATGAACCGGCCAATCGATTTTTTAAGCGCGATCGGTTATACTTTCTACGTAAAGAGAAAAAGAGATTTCTTCAGATTTAATCAATTTTATCGCATCCAAACAAATTTCATCCGAAGAAACCTTTTTCTCCGTGCGTTTCACGCTCGACATGTCGCGAATCAGTCCAACCAAACTCGAACATACGCTCTCTCTATTCTATTAGTTCCTACTGCGTATCTATATTTCGATAAAATAACATATCGCCGCCGCACCTTCATACATACCGTCCGTCCATTTGGCCGCGCTACCGTTCTCCTGCACCGTCACAGCCAGTTGCCCCGTGTACGAGTTGAAGGCGGTCGCCGAACTGGACGTGGGTGGTGCGGGCGCGTGCACCGAGCCGGGACTCCTCGGCGCGCCCGTGATCCCCGTGTTACCGCTTCTGGGCATACTGTAAAGGGCCTCCGCCAGGTCCGCCGCCCTCTTCAGGATGATCTCCTTCGGCAGCTTCTCCGGGTCGCCCGGGTGGCGCGGAATGAGCTTCTGTAACCTCTGGAAGCCGTAGTCGATCGTCGGTTCGTTCAACGCTGCAACATACGGCGGAGATTCGTTCGCTCTCTCACTGATCGGCGAGAGGAGGGGAGCGCGTCGGGAGGAGATCCTCCGTCATGGGATTGTCGATCGTCGGCGATTTGGAGGACGATTTCAACTACTTACAGACGTAGACGAATCTGCCGGGGGCTCCTTTACAGAACTGCTTGCTCTTGTACGATAACGTCACCTCGACGACACCGGGTATCTGTCGCGGCGGTGTTTGCACTCTGATCGCGTTCGGGGTGATTAGCTGCGAGAAAAACGCACAGTGTTTTTGTATGCTGTAGATGCATATGTCGCTCTCTTCTTTTCGCTGAGAGAAATTCGATTAAAATCATATATATATATATATATATATATATATATATAAAATTATCCTCGGCCTCCAATTATATTTCTTTCTTTCTTCCAATTATGCGATTACAGTAAAAATAGCAAATTTTTTTCTCGGTGTTTGCATCTCGAAATTAATATATCAAACAGAAATTGCATCGCTAGGCCACTACTTCGTGACATCTTCTGTAAACGCAAAATTTTTCATCTTTATATTTAGTCGTGAATAAAATATTTCTATTTCTTCAAAAACATTTAAAGTGGCGGTATAGTTATCGTCCTATCCTGTGTATCGTGAGATCCGTCAAGTGATTATGTTACATTATGATAAGACGTATTAACCTCACTCCACACCAGCATTGTCCCGAAAACGACTTGTAGTCCATCAAAGAAGTTCTCGCCGATGATTATGACGGTGGATCCGCCCGCCGTCCAACCCTCGTTAGGCGATATCGCTTTTATGCACGGCGTTTGGAGCGGTATCGGCGGATACAAACCTAAGTTCACAACATAAAAATAATACAATGCATTCTTTGGCCTGACTCTTTATCTCGTGCTGTTATCAATATTTATCTGTTTCTCTGTATTTATCTATTTATCAAACACAAAACGCGGTATCTACTTAATTCAATATCTGTTTTGTTAATATACAATAATCTTGTTACATTTTTCTCTGTCAAACGCGCACGATGACGTGGATATATTTCCTGATCAGTTTAATAGATCAAATAGATTCGTGGGAAATGCCGTTGAATGCGGCAGCGATTAATTTCCCTGTCGCGGAGGAAAGTAATGGCAAAGGTAACGCGGTAAAAAAAGCTGCGATTCCGAAGAACCGGATGAAGCACTGAGCGGTAGCTTGAGAGGAAAGCTTACGAATGACGAGGAGATGGGATATGGAAAATTATCTGAATATTCTGTTTATTCGGTCGAGGCCGAATGGCAGATATATTTTCCGGCGTGGCAAGCAAGTTTTCGAGGTCGTGGGGCTCGTGCAGGTGAAAGAGAGCGAGAGAAAGAAGGAAAGACCGGAAGGAGGGACCGAGAGTTCGAGAGAAAGGGGTGGGAAACGAAAGAGAAACTATGAAGGAGAACGGAAAGAGGATGAAACAGAGAGAGAGAGAGTTAGGACGAGGAAGAAGAGACTGAGGGTCGGAGAGCTCAGAGAAGGGTTGTAACAAGAAGGAAGGGGAGGGGGCGATCGGGCCGCCGGTGTCTCTGCTTGGAATTTATAACCCAATGATATCATTTTGTACCCCGGCGAAGCCAAGCCACCCCCGGCACCGACCCCGGGCGAAGCGGAGCCACGGCAGAGTGGCTGACATCATGGTATATTGCTCCCAGTGATGCTCAAACACTTTCCACTTCGAGTGCTTACGTGCCGTCACGCCGATAAATCTCGGCGGCTTAAAAGATCCCGGCGTTGTCTATATTTAGACAACGATGGTTAAGGACTGTTCGCCTCAAGTTTAAATGGGACACCGGCCGAAAAGTATTTCTCCGGGGTGGCCATTGTTGCAACCTACAACGCAACGATCGAATAATCGTTTCACTAGCAATACGTGAGATCGTCGGAGGAGGGGGANGGGGGGGGGGGGGGGGGGAGGAGATGATTGAAAGCAAAAGAATGAAAGAGAGAGGAGATATAAATATCACGTGACGCGCGATTAAAATTGAATTACACACCGTGTACGGTGTCGGTCGGCGGAAAGATTGCGCCGCGATTTCGCGTCCACGGGACAACGAAGGAAGAAAAAAAAGGACAAAGGAAAAAAAGATCAAGCGGACGCAAGTGACGATCACAGTGAGAGGAGCGTTAAAGAGTCGCGAGTGCGGTCTCTACGCAAATGGGGATTCCTCAATGGGACATTGGTATTTATTGCGTTCAATGTACGAGAAAGTCGTTAAAGAGAGCCGGCCGTGTTGGCAACCACCCTGTTAGAGAATTGTCGAGCGGCGTGGTGTGGGCCGCTACGGTGCTGGTAGTTGGCGAGGGAGAGGAGGATGAGGAGAAGCAGGAAGAGGAGGATGAGAAGAGGGAGCGGAGGGTTGAAAAGAGGGATTCAGCGGAGGAGGCCAAGGAACAAGCGTACCAACCCGGAATAAATAAAATCCCCCGCGCCGCTGAATGGTAAGGGGTGCTATTTCCAGGTCCCCCTCCCCCTTCGCCACGGAACTATCGTCGAAGTCGAAGAGCCGTTGTACCCCCGCCGACACGTTCGGCCCGATTCTCTTTGATCACTGTGAGATCGCGCGATAACTTCGTTCGCCGCGGCGAAGCCTCGAGAAATTTAGCAGAAAAACCACCTCGTCCCGAGCGGCATCGCCGAAATGAGCGGCGTCGTCGCGTCAATCAAAGGCCTCTCCTTCGGCTAAACAAGTCTTCACTGATCCGGTTTATGATGAGTGATACGTCGAGCGTTGCCAAGACGTTTCCTACCTGTCCCAAAACAGCGAACACTCTTTTCGCCGGAGGGCTTAAGGTAGTTGCGGCGTAAAATGAATATTCTTAAGAATTTCTTGAAACTTCTATCTAAACTATCTACAGATTTACGGTCTAATTATTAACAGAATTGTAGTCTGACCATTGAGAAGCTGAGATATTCGCGACTAAAGATGACGTTTTACACGCGCCGTAAACGCTTCGAATGATGTCTCGTTGCGCGAGGCGACCTTGAGCTTTCGGCTTCGTGATCCCGTCGCGACACAAGACTCAAATCCGATGGAAGAGGACAAGACGCGAGAGTGAGAAGTGTTGCGGAGCCGCTCCGAGTCCTCCGCGGGGGACGCGTTGCGCGCACGCAACGTGCGTTTTCCGCGCGGGAAAAGAAGAGACGGGTCGCGCGAGTCGGCCGTTTCGGATTTCATGGACAATCGAGATTTGATTTGTACGGCGGAGCCGGGAGAATTCGCTCGCAATGACGGCAAAATTCACGAGAGGATATACCGTTTTCTCCGTTCTCTCCCCCTTCCCGAACCCCGCCTCGCGTCTCATTGGTATGCTCGTTTCGGCGTTCGCGGGGACGGGGGTGGCTCGCGGGGGGATTTGGAAAGAGTGGATGTGTTGGTATCCTCATTGGCGTCGCAGAGGGGCGTCGTGAAGGAGGGTGGCGCGAGATAGCTTAAACTTAGCATTCACAAACCAACGCGCCGCGGCAACCACGGCGGCGCGGGGTAGGAGGATGAGGAGGTGGCGGAAGAGGAAAGCGCGAAAACGACAGACGAGGAAGCTGAATGAGAAAGAAAGAGAAAGAGAGAGGTAGCGCTGGATGAGAGGAGCGGGCCAATTCCGCTCTCTTTCTTTTCGTGTCTTTGCGCTTCGTGGCAGCCAACCAGGCAAAAAGAAGAAACCGATGCGGCGTCGGTGGCGGTGGCGGGCGGAGGAAAAGAGAGAGAGAGAAAAGAGAACCTCGGAACTCTCTCGCTGGCGAGAGGGGGAGAAGGGGGACTCGAGCGAAATTCGTGCGAGCAGAGCGGAGGGAAATAAGACCGAGGAACAAGGAGCGCGGAACGGAGCGTGGATCCTTCGTTTTCCCCGCATCCCATTGATTTACATCTTGTCTTGGCGCAGGAAAGAAGGAAGGAAGGAAGGAAGAAAAGACGGTGGGAAAAGAAGCCTGCGCGAAACGAGACGAGAGCGAGCGAGCGGTCGTCGAGGTGGAGGCAAGGGGGAGGAGGTGGCCGCGCGATATCAGCCGTTTGTATGCGCGGCCGACGCCAAACTTTGCTGAATTGCCCTATGACTCCATATATCCCATTCTACCCGGTACGCCCTCCTGTGCACACCCTCTTCTACGATTCCGCCCCGCCGCAGCTCCTTCCCGGAGTCGTTATACCGATCTCCGAAGGAAACTGACCCCGCACCGCGCGCGCGAGAACGCCGAGAGGCGACGAGGGAAACAACGCTCGTCGCGCCGAGCATTCGAATTGAGAACTCGCCGCGGACGAGGGCGAATCAGACCCGGAAGTCGATTTTGATTGGTGAAGCGCCGAGAGAAACAGAGAGAGGAGGGGAATTCGGGCGCACGTGAATCATATCAACCGTGAAAAATCGACGCATTAAATAAATGAGGGAGTTAATGCGCGCAGCGGGCTTTTTTAATTATCGCCCGTTAATTAATTATCATATTTTCTGCGAGTGCTTTGTTAGCGAAGGCCGGTTGCAATTTCCGCCGGGAGAATGCAGCAGTTAACTTGCAAAATTAAATAACGAAAAACTGCACCGGCGGAGGCGGTGGCGGGCCGATTGGTGTTTACTGGGCGAATCGAATTATCGTGTAAATGCTCTCGTGCAGTCTCGCGATAAAATATGCATACTCAACTCGACATCGACGCCTCGTCCCGCAAAACGTCATCTCTTTAACGACGTTGATTAATTAACGGTATTTATCGATCATACTTACTGTTGTACTCGCCGGGATCGCTGGGGTCCAAGCGTTTCGCCCTGCGCCCGTGCTTACTGTTGTTGTGAACGAACATGTTGTCCGAGACCGCGAGCAACGGGCCCTCCACCCCCACTTGCGTGGAAATGACCACCTGTTAAACAAAGTAGACAATTCGTCGATGTGAGGGCTCGTCGCAAAACACAGCGGGAATTATTTATAATGGTAGTAACTAATGCAAGGCACGACGACAGAGCGAGCGATAATAAGACAGCTTTATAGCGAGAACCGCCATAGAATTCGCGTAGAAAATTTCCCGGGCTTTAATTAAGATTAAATAATATATATATATATATATATATATATATATATATAAAATAATAAAAAGATAAAAGATAAAAATAATAGCGACTTCTAATTGAGAAATCTAAGCGGATTCCGGTGAGAAGTTTCAAATATATGATTCTAGATGGGAAACATTAAACGGATCTTATTTAGTCACTTCTAGTGTTTTCTCGAAGATTCTTTTGGCCTACCATTTTACACTGCGATTGAATAAATTATACGAGTAGTACACGGTAAAAAATTTTGTGTTAATAACGGCCCGTGGAAATTGTTGGGTCATTTTAAGATGGTGTGAATGCAGCACAAAAATTTCAGTGGACCGAGTTCGACGCAACATTTTTTACTGTGTACTTACACTTTTCTTAGTATTTACACTTGACAAATACACACATACACACACAAATACGTGCTACGTGCTACTATTGCATAGTAATATTAAAGATATGATCCCATTTATTAACCTCCTTGGCTCTAACGATGACAGTCGCGAAGAGACGTGTATGAATTATTTGAACACTTACGTATGTTGAATATCGACATAACGCAAAATGTTGAAACAACATAAACGTAATATGTCGAATTAGCACACGGATGCGTTGAAAATTTAACGCAAACGTTTTTAAACAAGGACCGTAAGTACTTGTCGAATGTGTTCGGTGTCTCGCAGAAGACACGATTGTAGACGTATTCGTGTTACGAGATGAATGAGAATCCCAATTGAGCGTTCTCAGGACTCGCACTTTTTTATATTCAATTTAACCGAGAGTAGGAAGGTATCACCGAGCTCATCACGACGCCGTCGTGAATCATATCGCACCTCTCTCTCTCTCTCTCTCCCTCTCATGACGCGTTATACACAGCGTTACAAGTTCATCACATCCCCCGTGAACGAGCATGCACAGCTCGATTTGTCGCGCCGAGTAATGCAGCGCGCAATTCGTGACTCGTCCGTAGGTGTAATCGTGCGACATACGGCGACATAATCCGAGGGAAGCGAAGCGAGTGATCACAGTTTTGCGCGATCCACCGGGAAGGATGTGAAATTATTCACAGAGACGTGTCTAATAAACGTCGAGAGCGACGATTACTTACTCGGCGAAACCCTCGGCGTCGTTTCGCGTACGTTTCAAGGGCGGCCGGAAGGATTCTCGCGGGAGGAGCGTTTATAAAATCGAGCGGGCGGCCGGAGAACGCCCGAAAGTTTTGTCCTTCTCGGCAACTTGGCAACTTTCTCGCATGCCGGTGCGATATTACTTGGCGAGTAACAACGCCGCCCAACTTAGAGGGGCGGCAAAGCGACGACGTAACGCTCTGAGACGCTCCGAGACGCTCCGGTAGGAAGGGAGAGAAATTTTTCACGGCGTTCGTCGCGTTGAAATTTTAATTCGGGCAACTTCGGGCGGTAAGCAATTCCGGAAGCAAATTCGGAAGTATGTACGACGAGTATTCTAATTTCGACCGGTCGCGCCGAGAAGCAACGGCCGAAGGAAAAGGGTCGAACACGGTATGACGAGGGAGGACGAACGAAGAAAAAGATAAAACGACGGAGGGAGAGGGGAAAGTCACCGCGGTTATTGGTAATTTACTTTTTAATTCTGTCCTTTGTCTCGAGACGAA